TTAACAAATTAAACACCAAACCTGACTGGCTATGCTTCTGACTTATGCCTTAACAAAACACTAAACCTGACTGGTCATGCTCTGACTTGGTAGTTAAAGCACCAAACCTGACTGACTGTGCTTTGACTTGTACTTAGATCCTCCTGTCACTGACCAGAATATGCCGCATATTGTATCTATCTACCTGACCTAGCAATAGAAAACTACTGGTTAGACTGGGACAATCTTGACCAGGTAAGCAATACTTAAATGTATATATGTAAATGTATATATCTTATCTGGACATAATCATATATATCAATCAGTGCAGCGATAGCCAGTGTTCTCATTCATTCCTGGCAACCAGAATTTAGTTGATTATTTATTTCTGGATAAGAATTAACACTTTATTATATATTGGTTAGAAACATTGGTTCTTATACAGTGTTAATTTTATGCTTAGGGATTATTTGAAAGACTGTTAATGGATGACCCGGAAAAGAATCTTGTACGTACTTGCACAGCCGTCAAAAAAATTGGAGATGATGTTAAGGAATTGTCACCTCTGAGATATCTGCTGTCTTGTTACAAAAGATCACAACAGGAAACGAAACAAAAGGTATTCTTACTATGAGGGTATTCAAATTAGAAGTTACTGCAGGAGGGAGGTTAGGAGGGTATTCAAATTAAAGATCACTAGAAACCCTGGAAAGAGAAGCAAAAGCAAAGTATTTAAAATAGCGCAATTAATTTATGCCTACCTCAATGTTTTTTTTGCAGATTATAGGTTCAGCTATGATTTCTAAATGTTGTAAACTGATAGTATCTTATACCGTGACAGCATTAACAACACCAGAAGTATTTGGCATTACTGATGTTCACTCACAGATGGCCAGTTTATTCAGCGATGTGTGCCATTCTGGTGGTATGTATTGTAATTAGTATCTGTCACGCACAGTCCTATTCGGGTACTTGTGGAATGTGTGTTAGTGTGTTGCTGTGGTTGTCATGATTATATTTAATATTCTATTTTTTGTGTATGTGTCGTTGAGACTATCGATAATACATTCAGAATATTTGCAATCAATAATATATCATTTATATCGTTATCATTTATTGTATTTTTACATAGTACATCGATTATATCGTTTTACTGTTCCATTTATTCATGATGTGAGAGTGATCGCTGTTTAACCAATCAGAACTCTTTGCGGGCTTTTACTCTCAATAGGGGACCCCCCCATTCAAAAAAAGGTAGAATTCGAGAGTTGTGTTATTGTTTACCAGTGAGCTGTCTGCTGTAAGTTTTGTCCTGGAACTTTACATTGTAAACCTACATAGATTTGTACTTGCTACTGGACATTGTGTTACATTGTGTTAGTGTTTGGTTCCTTCAAGAATTCTGTGATAATAAAGTGGTCGAGTTCAGTGTTATCGCTGTGATCGTGATTCTGTCAACTCGCGAACTGTCCATTGCGGCAGTATTCCAGGTGAAACCCCAAGTTAAATATTTCGAACCTAGCGTGGGGACCAAGTTTAACGACGAGTCCCAGATACTTATTCAGTATCAAATTGTCCCCCCAACAGTATGTTTATTCCCTGTCGAATGAAGTCTGTGTGTGTCTTTGTGTGCATGCATCCGTGCGTGCATCCATGCATGTGTCTGGAGCTGTATTTCTGGCCCCCTGGACCAATTCATTTCAAACCTCACACATATTTAATACCTTATCTGATAATTATGCATGCACGTGGGTGATTTCGTGATTCAGTCAATGATATAAAAAAATGACTCAAATTTTGACATGATCTTAGGTGTGTCACTTGGTGGAAGGATTAACCATTGTAGATAGTTGATGCATGTCACTTTGATTTGTAAATTTGACTCAAGGTGGTCGTCTGGTGGCTATTTTGTTTACCTTGCATGGCTGCAGCTAACTGACAGATATTTTATATTGCAGATTTAGATGTATTTTCTTCATTTCTGGATGCAGTATGTGCTGCTATAGTAACAGATGAAGAGTACAGATGCAGTGATGTGTTTCTACCAATATTAAAAATTACGCATGAGAGAATCACCTCTCTCAAGACCTTGATTAATTCTAATAATTATATTTACTGTGAGATTGTCAGATGCTTCACAATGAAGCCTCTACTTGCTAAGGTACGTGTAATTATACAATCTCTACAACATATAGACATATAGCTTATACAGGAAATTATCCAATATAGACATTACTATGGCTAATAATGTATTGTATTTTATGAATGATGTAGTTTGTTCTGTTGCTAGGTAGTCAGGTAATCTATGATTGATTCACCATCAGTATTCTATTGCTTATTTTACAATGCTATGTGGTTCATGTTCAAGTAAACAGTCAGGATTGCAATAGTATTAGGTTATTACGAGAATACCTCAAAGTATGCACAAAGACAGTGCAGCTGAAGTATTGATTGACGCGCTTTTCCTTATATGGTAGGATGAAAATACCCCATAAAATACCGCAAAATTACGGCACGCCATAACTTATGGTGTTACGGTGACAAATATATAATAGTTATTATCTGCATTTGATGTGTTTCATATACTGAACAACTCTCTTTGGTTACATCATAAAGTATGATTTCTGAGATTGTTTGTTTTATTGGCTGCAGTTATTTTCACAACAAAGAATAATACATGTTCTGTATGATTTAAATATCATAGGTCCTACTGGATCATATCAACCCACAAGATCTTACCAGAGGGAAAGATTTTGAAAAAAACTGCATTGGAGCATTATTGAACTTATCATGTCTCGTTGATAATGAATCAGGACCTTATGAGTTTTTTGATAAACCTTCAAGCTCATCACAACAACAGCATCAGGCAACAGAAGCCAGTATATGGATGGTGAGTAACATGGCTTGTAAGTAACGTGGCGAATGTAAAAATATCGACATGTGACAATCTTTAATTAAAAATTGTTTTATTCTTTTATTTGACAGCCTTTAAGTGTTATGAATGATAAAGTATATCAGATATTTTTATCTATGTTGAAATGTTCATCTGAAATAAAAGATGAATTCTTGATGTGGATTGGAAACTGTCTGCACTCTAATGTTGGTGAGTTCATTTTGTTTTTACATTTCAGTAATCTTTAATTTGTAGTTCCTGTTTGAATGCAGTCTGAAAGCAATGACCTCTAAGTGTACACCCATGTTTACATGCATGTTTGACATGCCTCAACTGATCACATTCAAACATCACAACTGCAATACCTGGCTGAATATTGACCATTTTTGTGCTAAAAATTATCAAAAATCAAGAATTTCTGTCATTCTGGAACTTGATCTTAGTTAGTCATTTTATTCAAATGTGGCACATACTTTGATTCATGTAATTTTTATCCCCATGCCAGATCAAGTTGGAAACCAGAGACCTATTAATTTGAGTTCCGTACATCTCTGCATTCTCCGGCCGATCACATTCACACATAGAACAAAGACTATGTATGATGACGTACATATGCATGTCAATTGCCGTTACAGTTTGATCAAGAATTGCTGTTTGGCGGCAATTTTGATCCTCAAATTTGCTGGATTCTGATACTTGACAGGGGCGGTTCCTCAGAGATAAACATTTTATTCAAAAATTGTGTTATGATTATGCATGTGGCTAAGAGGTGCATGTCATATTTTTTCGAATAAAAATGGCTGACTGGTGGCCATTTTGTTTTTATTCATTACCATGTTGATTCCTGACTAATATAAGGAACATTTAGATTAATACAGTACATGTAGTATTAATTGTAATTATGATGACCTAATTGTTCTTGTTCATCTAAAATTTAGCTAGTATATTCCGTGTTAAATTTTGTTTAGATACATTGTATTGTTTCAGGATTTTTATTCTCAATTTTGCATTACAAGGAATACATTGTAACATACAGCATTGTTAGTTTGTATCCATCCTGAATCCATATTTGTTCTATAATATCAGAAGTACATTACTTGGGGTTGGCAAGTAGCATGACATGATACCAAGATCCCGTTTCAATCTTGCTCTCGCATAAGCGTTCCTAACTCAGAAAAATGCGAATGTGCATGCCCACGGTAACTAGGATACTGGTTAGGATACTGGATAGGTCCAGGTGGATCAAAATAGCTGCTCACGATATGACAGATTACAAGAACTATATTTTCTGTACATTTTTGATGTATTACATTTGTTCACTATGAATGTGGTAATACATGTTTTATTGTTTTATTACAAACCATCTATGTCATGTCAGAAGGTCATAGCATCAGTCTCGCTATCTACGAGATGAGACTTGATATGATGTCACCTTACAGAACTATGCACGTTGCAAACCTCAAGTAATGTACCTCTGATAAAATCTAGATTATCAATGGGCAAATAATAATTATGCTATGTTATAAGTACGATTTTTGTTATCCCTAGATCGTACAAAAATCTGGTCGGTAATGATGAGCCGTAATAGATTTGTGTCTGACAGTTTTATGTTGAATCTTGGAGCTGTACTTTTACGACTGTGCCAACCATTCACAGCTTCTATCAACCAGAATTTGTTGAAGATTGACTTTAGTTATACTCTTGCTACCATGGAAACTGAAGTACGAAGGAAAGAAATGGGCATACACATGAAAGGTAACATCAGTTCAGTGAAGAAATTGTTTATAGATGCTTGGTTACCAATTATAGCTGAATAAACCATCCCACAATGCAACAGCTTATGTCATTCCCATCATTGATTTATCTAATCAACAAATTGGGTTTATTCACAAGACATGAATCCTGTCCTGGTCTTAGGATTTTTAGCCAGATAAAAGGTGATACCACAAAACAGCGCACTCTACTGACTGTTTAGGGCAACTTCTGGATACATGCTGAATAAATATTCAGTCTTATTCTATCTCCCACAGTCTGATAATTTGAGTTTAAGAATCAAAATTGGAAATTGCATACGAATTACAACATTTAATTTGGAAAATGCCTTATATGCTTACAAAAATTAATATCTTTGTACAAATTACGGACGAATAAAACAGCTGATTACATTTTACACCTTGCCCATGTCTATGAATTTACGTTTTTTATTTATTTAAATTACATCATTAAGAGAATAAAAACAATTGATTACAGCTTATGAAAATACCCCTTGCCGACCCTCATAAATGATTTGCTTATACACATTGTCAATATATTGACTGATCCATAAGCACTGAATTTCCATATATTGTAGCTGATTTCAAGGTGAAAAACATTTAGGATATTCTACTAGACTTTGTAGATTTGGTATTGCGTCTATAGTTTGGCCTCTGTGCATGTATCTTAACATTACTGAGCCAATCGCACTCAAACTTCCCACAAATCTTCAGATACATATGTCCAGCCATTTATAAATTACGTCATTCACAGTATTTAGTTAGCATTCCATCTAAAATTATGTCATTCACAGTATAAGCAACCATAGGAAATTTTTTTTATCCTGACACCAAAATTCTGTATTTTCATTCATACTATTGTTTCTTATTTTTGTTTCAGAATTAGGAAAAGAAACTTGTTTGTGTCAGCTGGAAGATAACACTGATCCTATCGCTAAAAAACCTTTGTACAATTTTACTACGGAGATCTTTATGATGACTCATCACTGCTTACGAATGGGATACCATCGTGTCTTCAGCCAGTTCAATAGACTGGCTCGTAATTTAAATCGGATACAACGCAGTTATGAAGATGCACGCCGACAGTCTGCTCAGCCTGCGGTTATACAAAATATACGAGATGATATGGATAGAGGTAAGTTGTCTCTTCCTCAATGTAAGTGTACATGGTAAGTGTGTGTTGTAGGCATACATGTAGGTGTTGTGGCTTATCTGATTTGACAGGTGGTAAGTGTACATTGTGAGTGTGTTGTAGAAATAGAAATGGTGGCTTTTCTGATTTGACAGGTGGTAAGTGTACATTGTGAGTGTGTGTTGTAGTAATAGAAGTAGTGGCTTATCTGATTTGTTGAGCAGCACACAAAAGCAGAAAGTTGCATTTTCAGACTTTTTTCAGCATATATATGGCAGCATTTCAGAAGACAGTTCTAAACAATTTTCAGCAAAATAATTTGAGTACAGAAAATTATGTTACCATTGACTGGCAACCATTTTTGTACCCCAAAAAATAAAATCACAAAATCATATCATCAACCATTTTTGGGGCATGCCTAGGCCGATGTTATTAATAATCAGTATGAACATGAAATAGGATGAGTCACTGATGAATCACTGATGCATTTTCATTTGTTTGCCTGAAGATAATTTTTTGTCTAAAAAAAAGCACGTCAACAAGAATTTTAATCACTTAGATTTCGTTATTAATGCATGTATTATTTGGCATTTTGATTCAAATAGGCCAACTGACAGCCATTTAACTTTTTTACTACCCGTAATTTTGTTTTTGGGACCCAATGATCTGGTAACCATTTTGTTGTATAATTGTCCTCTGCCTTTTCTCTGACAAACTTAACAGATTTTGTTTAAATTGGCACAAAGGCAAGACATAATGGTTTTTATGTGCATGCAAATTGTTTTTGTTCTAAGAAAATTTTCTTTATTTTTCTGTTTCCCCTTTGCGTTCTTATATCAAATACTTTTAAATACAGACTAGAACTGTTTCACTGACAATGACTAGTTTACTGCACAAGCACAGTTAGGAATCAAAATTTGTTTGAATTAAGTAATATATGCAATTGGCAAAGATAGTATCGGCACATATGTACACACTGTATATATGTGTTGGGTTCAGTGAGTCACAAAACATTTGTCACCATCAATGAATTTAACATACATTTATTCTATTTGTTGTTTTTCTCTGTTAAATGAGGTAGTACTTACAGAAGTTATGTTTCACATGACTAGAAAACAATATTTTTGGAAAATTTTCTAATTTAGTCCAGATTTGCAATTTCAGCGATTTGTCTTTATTATTATCAATCTGGGATTTAAATGTTAATCACTCATACTTCCTGAGATACCTGTATGGTGGATTACTAATCACAGGCTTTCACATAATTCCTGAGATTTGGATTTTCTCTGTTATTGAGTATTTATGGCTGACTTTTTTTTTTTTTAGGAATGACGATTTTCCTGAGTACCAAAGCTGCTTTATTAGAACCTCAATATTTACAAATGACCTTTGACCTTATACTTGCTACTTCTGCCCTTTTATCACACTCTGCTGTGACTGACAGTAGTGATATATTAGTAGCACCAACATTACCAGTCCCGGAAATTGTACCCAGAATACTTAGTTGTGTTCCAGAAATGCTTGTGGACAACATTGTTGATTCAATGACTGTTATACATCGATTCAATAACAACATTTTATCAACTGCTGGTGATTCATTAGGACACATTATGTCATTCATTGCCCTGTACATGGGGAGTCAAGAACGAATGAAAAATCCACACTTGAGGGCAAAACTTGCTGAGACACTGGAGGCACTGATGCCTATGGAAAACAAACGAGGAATAGCAGCAACTTTGTAAGTCTTTAAATATCTTCTGGAATTTCTTCAAAATGAAAGATTAATTTTTAACCAAAAATATGTTTTATTTCATATCTCTGCTGTAGACATTAAAGTCTTCGTACATCTTTCCATTTCTTATCACACTGTCGGTATTAAAATATTTTAGCTATGTTATCTTATCATTGTAACCAGCATAACAATTTTGTTTCCTAGTTACCAGTCAGAAATGTTATTCAAAGAACATAGTTTATCAAAGATGTTGTCTACTGCCCTCATACATGTATTTGTGTCAATCGAGTGTACTGGTGATCCAAACCAGTTTGAACAGAAATTTAACTATCGCCGACCAATGTACCGCATCATGGACTACATATGGAACATTGATGTGCATCAAAATAATTTCAAGGTAAACAATAAATCATGTCTCTCACTTAGACTATATGTGAATATAATTGGTCTAACATACTAGTTAGCCCATCAGTCTGTCTCTCCATCTTGCCATCTGCTTTACAATATCTTCTTCAACCATCTGCCTCTCCATCCCTCCATCTGCCTCTCCATCCCTCTATCTGCCTCTCCATCCCTCCATCTGCATCTCTATCCCTCCATCTGCCTCTTCATCCCTCCATCTTCTCTATTCCTCCATCTGCTTCTCTATTCCTCAATCTGCTTCTCTATTCCTCCATCTGCCTCTGTTCCTCCATCCACCTTTCTATTCCTCCATCTGCCTCTATTCTTCCATCTGCCTCTGTTCCTCCATCCACCTTTCTATTCCTCCATCTGCCTCTATTCTTCCATCTGCTTCTCCATTCCTCCATCTGCCTCTATTTCTCCATCTGCCTCTATTCCTCCATCTGCCTCTCTATTCCTCCATCTGCCTCTCTGTTCCTCCATCTGCCTCTCTATTCCTCCATCTGCCTCTCTGTTCCTCCATCTGCCTCTATTCCTCCACCTGTCTCTATTCCTCCACCTGCTTCTCCATTCCTCCATCTGCCTCTATTCTTCCATCTGCCTCTATTCTTCCATCTGCCTCTATCCCTCCATCTGCGTCTATTCCTCTATCTGCCTCTATTCTTCCATCTGCCTCTTTTCCTCCATCTACCTCTGTTCCTCAGTCTGCCTCTATTTC